TCTTCACCACCAACTACAAGGAACGCCTCGACCCGGCGCTGCTGCGGCCGGGCCGCATGGACATGCACGTCTACATGGGCTACTGCGGCTGGGAGGCGTTCAAAACTCTGGCCAGAAACTACTTCCTCGTCGACGACCACAAGATGTTCCCTCAGATACATGAACTTCTCTCGGCCGTGGAGGTGACGCCGGCCGAGGTCTCCGAGATGCTGCTGCGGAGCGAGGACGTTGACGTGGCTCTCCGGATTCTTGCAGAGTTCCTCCGGGAGAAGAGGCTGAGGGCTGTGTTCGGCTGCTAGGTGTCGGCTACAGTAACTTGTAAGGGAGAGCAGCCAGCCGAAACAGAGGACAGAGAAACAGAGGACAAGAAGAACGCGGCAGAGGACAAGGAGGAGGTAGTAGCAGAGAAACCTGTGTAGCGTACTGTGTTCTTCAGGGTTCTCCATGGATCATTTTTATTTCTGGAGAAGGGAATCGAATTAGATCACGAGAATAAAATAACTAGGCCAAAGGAGTATCATCTGGCTTCAGGTGATACTCCCTATCATGCTATCCATTTTTAGTAGTCAGTCAGTAGTGTTCTCCTATTCCTGGTTGCCGCATGTTTTTGTTGCTCGTCTGCTTATCTGTTTCTGAATCAGAACGGTGTCTGTAACACTAGTCCATGCCTTATTCAGTCCTAACTTGTTCAGTAGTCCCATTTCTTCATCCTTCAATGTATAACGGATCTATTCGCATCTATGGAAGCGATGACAAAAAGAATGTTAGGCCAAAGTTGACCCCATACACATCATGTTGGAATACTACAGATCAAAATTCAGAGCTGAAACCATCACATTCATCTCTATTCATAATCTGTCTATTCAGAATCTGAATCCAGACAGCTAGCCAAATGGTTCCAGCAAGTCATTTTGTTTCTCATAGAAACGTTTCTCTAGAGAATCGGAATCTGAAACGTTTCTCATAGAATCTGGATCTTGCCAAACGGACCCAAAATTGGCAGAGGGAGGCCAAAGATAAGTCCCTGCTGTAGAGATAGTGAATGTTGTGTGGGAGACACACAATGTTTGCCCCTGAGTTTCTCTAACACTGTCCAACCATATCCTGAGTGCTTCATTGGTTGTAGCACTACCAAAAGCCATTCCAAGTTTTTTTTGAGAATTACAGTACACAGTAATGGATTGGACACTCTAACATCCAGTTACTCAATGGGCACCAAGACTTCCCTGGAGAAGTTCCTGCCAGTTGAACTCTAGTGGACAAACCAGCCAGTTCTGAACTCTAGTGGACAAACCAGGCCTCTGTTTGAAGTTTGAAAAAGGGAATTGTTTGGAGCTGGGAGTTTGGACTATACAAATCAAAGAACAGGATTTGTTTGGAGAAGTACCAAAATAGCACCCGATAAAAAAAGGGACTAAGGGAATGTGGAAATCCAATACCACAAGACAAGGCATGTTCAGACATATAGCAGGCGTCAAGTTGGAGAGCAAGATCACAGCAGAGCTGTCACTCTACTTCTAAGCAATGCTACAGTTACTCACCAACACAGGTCTTATTATATCAATCAATCTCATTCGGCCATTTAGCGCGTGTTTAGTTCCAGGAATTTGGAATTTGGGGCTACTGTAGCACGTTCGTTTTTATTTGGCAATTAGTGTTCAAACGTGGACTAATTAGGCTCAAAACGTTCGTCTCGCAATTTCCCACCAAACTGTGCAATTAGTTTTTTTTTCGTCTACATTTAATGCTCCATGCATAGGCCGTAAACATTCGATGTGACAGATACTGTAGCACTTTTTGGGATTTTGGAGTGGAACTAAACAAGGGCTTACAGATAAATTGTAGTTATCATCAATCAACTATAGAAAATACCCAACACTACCAAAAAGCTAAATCACCAAACCCTCAATCGGTCAATCCCAATTTAGAAATCTTCTATGGCCACTGAAAAAGGTATTATATCAAAGCTCATTTGCCAGTAACCTCCACAGTCATCAGGATAAAACTATCTAAGGCCTTGTTTAGTTGCTAAAATTTAGAAAGTTGTCTACTGTAGCACTTTCGTTTTTATTTGACAATTAGTGTTCAATCATGGACTAATTAGGCTCAAAACGTTCGTCTCGTAATTTTCAACCAAACTGTGCAATTAGTTTTTTGTTTCGTCTATATTTAATGCTCCATGCACGTATCGCAAGATTCGATGTGATGACTACTGTAGCACTTTTTGGGAAAGTTTTTTTTGAACTAAACAAGCCCTAAGTAGTCATGATAATAATTTTAGAATCTATCAGAAGAAAGCCCATAACTGACAGCAGCAACATGAAAAGTGCATATATTCCACCTTTCGTCAGGTATTAGACAGAGCACCTACCAGATTTTGGCAACCCCGTTTGCTTCGCTGAAAAAACAAACCGAAACACTGTTTCGGCTGATTTGTTGTGAGAGAAAAATACTGTTCCGGCTGAAAAAAAAATAGGTTGAAAAAGACGGATTATAAGATAAACGAACATGACAGTGACTATGAGAAAGTAACATTAGAGAATTTATTTTGATTTTTTAGATTGATTAGCCCAAATCAGTTCCTAGTTTCCTGTGCTTTCGGAGGACCAAACAACCTTTTCATCATCAATACTTTTTTTTTAAAATTCTAGGGCCGAGCCGCCACCGTCTTTTAACTATAGCCAAAAGACATTATAGCAGTTTACAGCACAGCAGATGGGAACCAAAATCTTAGAAACACCATATAGACTCCTCATGAGCTAAAGATCGACAACGAGAGCTAGAACTACTAAGAGCAGCTCCAGTGTGTTGAAAAAGCGAACCGTGGGCGGCATAAATCGAACCAACAACGCTCCAGTGTGCGAACCATGGTTGTCAGTCCTCGAATCGACTGCTGCAGACGGTTCGAACAACCGAGAATAAAATAAGGCCCGTTTAGATTTTAAAAATTTTTACGCAGTACCTGTTACATCGAATCTTGTGGCACATGCATAGAATACTAAATGTAGACGGGAAAAAAACTAATTGCACAGTTGCGTAAGAAATCGCGAGACGAAACTTTCGAACCTAATTAGTCCATAATTAGACACTAATTGCCAAATACAAATGAAAGTGCTACAGTAGCCAAAACCTAAAAGTTTTTGAATCTAAACACGCCCTTAGTGTCTAATTATTGTGATGCATGCTGGAGAAGAGAAGAATACTGCTTTTGGTTTTGTTTATTGTGATGCATGTCACACTCATCGATTTAGCACTAGAGAGCGGCCGAACTTCTATCCGCGAAATCCGAGTGTGTCAGTTCGGTTCGATCTTCACACTCGAGGTGCCCGAATACTATTTTTTCACCGTCTAGGCACAGGATCACCATTCTGTCACATATTACCTGCCGTTGCTTCTTGATGCGACTGCACTGATTCCCCTTCACGCATTGCCTGCTTCTTCTCTCCGAGGAACTCTGCAAGCATCCGGAGAGCCACGTCGACATCCTCGCTCCTTAGCAACATCTCTGACACCTCAGCCGGTGTCACCTACTCACCTCCACACCAGAAAGCAACTCCTGTATCTCCGGGAACCGCGCGTGGTCGTCGGCGAGGAAGTGGTTCCGGGGCAGCGTCCTGAATGCCTCCCCGCTATAAATATCCATGCAGCCCGAAGCACGACGGCACGGCACGGCACGAAGTCTGTTTTTAGCCTGATACAAGCACGGCCCCGCCCGGTACGTGTGGGCCCGGGCTGGCCCGGCCCGAGGGAGCAGGCCGTGCCTGGGCCGCTGCTCAGGCCCGTGGGCTGGCACGGCACGGCATGACTTGCGTCGGTCGGCTCGGCAGCGGCCCGGCCTCCCCCCTCCCCCTCCTCACTCCTCCTCCCCTCCCCAAAGGCCCAGCGCGGCCCGGTGCCAGAAATGGCCTGTTAAAGCCTATCCCACTCCCTTCCATCCAAACCCTAACTTTTCCACTCCTTCCCCCGCGCAGCATTCCCCTTTTGCCACAACCGCTCGACTGTCGACTCTGAGTCGCTGCCCCAAGCGCCGACAGTGGCCACCCCTCCTCTCCCCCACGCCGTCGCGCGGCCGCACCCGCACCCTTCCTCCCCCCAACGTGTGCGGCGCGCCGCACGGCCGCACTCGCACCCCGCTTCTCCCCACGCGCGACGCGGGAGACGGGCCTCCTGCCCTCCTGGCTACCCGCCGCCGCCGCCGCCGTTGGAGCACGCAGTCGATCTAAGGACACAGCCGACCGTGCCCAGTGCCTCTGCATCGCCTCCCCAGCCTCCTCCACGGGGTCACGTGCCTCGACGCCATCACCGCCTCCGCGTCCTCCTCCACGTCGTCGCCTCAAGCGCCACCGCGGCCGCAGGACAGCGCCTCGACCTCGTCCTCCGTCCTCTCTCCCTTCCCCTGCTGATGCGGGCCTCGGGCCGGCCTAGCATGTTAAAAAGGCCGCGCTTTCCGGGCCGGCCCGGCACGGAAAGTGGCCCGACGGGCCATGCCTAGGCTGTCAGCTAGGCACGGTGGACTGGGCGGCACGGCCCGGCGGCCCGTCGTGCTCTACCGTGTCGTGCCCTACCGGGCCGTGCCTGGCACGGGCCCGTGCCTGGCTGGGGCCGGGCGGCCCAAATGCACATCTATACTCCCAGCCGCAGCAGCGCCGGGTCTAGGTGGTCCTTGTAGTTCGTGGTGAAGATGATGATGCGCTCCTCGCCGCTGGTCGACCACAGCCCGTCGATGAAGTTGAGCAGACCGGACAGAGTTATTCCAGGCTGCGCAGCCGAACGGTTTCCCGTGTTAGCAATTCATTTTTCTCTCTCAAAAATCTATAATAGTCAGGGTTCCTTGATCATATGCCGCTTACCTGCGAGCGAGTTGACGATCGAAGGTGACTCTGATCAGATAAGTCATCGTCCTCCTTCCTTGACTTGGTGCTGAAGCAGCAGTCAATGTCCTCGATGACGAGGATGGACTTATTGGGCATGCCAGTGAGCAGCCTCTGTAGTGCTATGTTTTAGCGCACCTCCAAGAGGTCGAGGTCGTAGAGGTTGAAGCGGAGGTAGTTGGCCATGGCGGCGATGAGGCTAGACTTGCCGGTGCCAGGCGGGCCATAGAGCAGGTACCCGCACTTCCACGCCTTGCCGATGCGGCGGTAGTAGTCCCTTCTCCCTAGGAACCTGTCGAGGTCATCGACGATGGACTGTTTGAGCACCGGGTCCATGGCGAGCGTGTCAAACGTGGACGAGTGGTGGTGGGTGATGCCATGCCACGACGAGCCCTCGTTCATGAAGATCCATCCGCCGCGCCTCCACAACCGTCGCCGTGATGAACGGGACGTAGCGCTCCAGCACCATGTCCGTGTGCTCAGCGTCAAAGCTGAGCTCTAGCGACCCGTACCCGTACCTGTTCCTATTCCCGTGCTTTCTCTTGCTGCTCTGCCCCGCAACAAAGGCCCACATGAACACAACGCCCTCGAAGACATCGGTCATCGAGTCACCGTCTTACATGGAAAGGGTCATTCTTCGACACGACGGTATAATCATCCTACTCACTTATTTACATTCTTGCAAACTAGTTGTGTAGCAAGCTCTTTAGTCTAGCTAGATTTGAGAGCTTGCTTGCTAGCTTAATTCACCTAGTGGAGCTCTTTAGTGTAGTTTGTTTGAGAGCTCTTAGTGAGTAGCAACTTAGCCTTGTTGTGTGCCTAGTGATCATAGCAACTAAAATTATTGGGATAGGTGGCTTGCAACCCTTGTAAAGCTAGAGCAAAATTGCATTACACCGTTTGTTGTACTAATCAATTACTCTAGTGCTTTGTAGAGTTTTTAAATAGGCTATTCACCCCCTCTAACCATATTAGCACCTTTCACGCGTCCATCGCCTTTGCGAAGGACGGCAGCGTCACGGCCGTAGCGGCCTCCACCGACGCTGATGAAGGTTTGGACGGCAACGTCAGGGCCGTAGCCGCCTCCACCAACGCTGATGAAGGTTTGGACGCCGAGCAGGGCGGAGGGCCCGGTAGGGCAAGGTAGGGCCCTACCTTGACTCTGCCGCGAATGCCTACCCCGAATTGCCCCCAGTACCGACAACCATGGACACAAGATCGCTGATTTGCTGAAGTCTGGACTCTAAAGATGAACGAGCACGAGGCGCGCGTGAGAGCAAAGGAGCCTAGTTGGGTTTTTTCATGGACATACACTGTGCTAGAGTGACACAGGGAACTTCAGAATAGAACCGCACATGTCTATGTATGGCCTACTGGTCTAGAGTACTACATAATATGAATTGAGCATAGCCTAAAACTATCAATCTATAAATATTTGTCACATACAGTCTGTGAACTGGAATTGGAAAATAGCAGCAAACAGAGGGAGGTAGATGATACATGGCCTGCTTAATATTGCTATGAGGATCCAAGAGCAATGGATGGTAAAATAGAATAAAACAGAACGAGGAATGTAGCTGAAAGAGTACTTCCTATAGATTTATCTTAGGCATGTTTCATCTAAAAAGAATGCATTGGTTTCACTGGCCCAAACAAATTTTATTAAATACAATAGCTTAACATGTAGAAGAAATTACATGTGCTTTGGATTGGTGATGCTTGATAGAATCTTTTTTTTCCTCGATCAACAGGCAGGGTATCCTACATAGAGGAAAACAGCAACATACCAGCATATATGAGAGGAAGCACAAAAATCGATCAACAACAGACCATCAAATGGACAGATGTAGCGGCAGTTGGTGCGAGCTTCTAAAGCAGCAGAAGGGTTATAGATGACCTTTTTTGTTTTGAGCTAAGGGTTGTAAGTAAATTTGATTAAAGACATGGCATTGGCTTACCTGTTGGGCAATAGCTTTGACTTTCGAATAATTTCCTGCATGGTGCATCTGTATGTTGCCCTGGTCTGTATTTAGCTAGAGCTAAAAATCTGAGATGAGCTGAATGGGAGGGCGCCGCCGACGCCGCGCGCGTCGACTGTAACTGACTGCTGGTCAGCGCACCAAAACATTAGTTCAAGCAATTTTCACTTACAATTCAGCATAGGAATCTAGAAGAAAATAGCTATATGAATGCCTGTGTAAATGAAATAAGACATGTATGAAGGTTCAGGAGGTACATTAGATCATAATAAAAATATCATACAGAGGGCTACGCTACATCTATTTGTGTTAGCATTATGGGTGTTTTGTGTGAATGGCTAAATGGTTTATTTAATGTGTGAAGCAAATAATAAAGACCGGACAATCATATGTCTTTGTTCAGTCATGGGTATTCTAGTAAATAGCTGTAGAAGAACAAAAAGAGTAACACACTTCATATCTTGGCCAAAGTCTCAAATTCGTAAGCAAGTCATGAAAATGCAGAGAATTATATGATGATCCATAAACATTTGAAGGCTCAACAGTTAATCATGGGTATATACTTAAGAGAAACAAAACAATCCGACCACAAGATGCAAAACACTGCATTCAAATTATTCTGATTTTTATTAGCAGGTTAGGCAGTGGCTCACTATTTTGGCAAACCTGTTGCACAAGACAGTGCTTGTTCGACGTCTTCATTGTTTATGAATGATGTCTACGCTGTACATTATTCTTTCTAACATTACCAGATGGAGATATTAGTGCCTGCAATATTAGGCTCTCAGTTAATAATATGGTGCTCCAAGATTTTGTGGCTTGCCAAAAGTGCTCTACAAATATTAAGAAGGATTTAGAAGCATTAAAATATGGCCATATATTTTGAAGCTGATCTTGTAAGACCCAAGAAAATAAAGGACTATTTCACAATTATGAAGCTCTTAACCTATCAGAAAGCCTTGTCTGCGTCACAACACAGGTATAATATGAGAGCATTATCTTATATACATTGACTGAAATAAGAAAAAAACACTATGTTTTTAAATTTTGCAAAAAAACCTGGGATGAAGAAACATTGTTGGCTTCTTACTTTTTCTACATCATCACTAATCCACAGGCAGATCATATACGGCAAGATGCAGCACCTGATTACTCGAGGAGGTGCCTACTGGGCAGTGCATCCACGAATACATTTCATCAAAAATCTTGAAGGCACTCGCCCAAATATTCAGGGTAGAGGAGGCACCGCTAATGAATCAGCACAGTAATGGACGCATTCAACATGTGCTTTGATTAGGTTTGAATCATAAACTGTCTATGACCTTTATTGAAATGAACAAAGTATGAATTGGAAAGCACAGAGAAGAAAACCCATCTTACAAAACACATGCTCTTCCTATACATAAAACCATAATACATAGTTAATCTAAGAGTAAGCTAACGATGGCACTATGTCGGGTAAAAACAAAAAATGAATAGGTAATCTAAGAGGAAACTAATAATGGCACAGACAATAGTATTAAACATATATTTCAGGAGACATGAAGTCACTAACCAATCCTAGGAGCCCATGGGGCGCGAAGCATCTACAGAAATTCAGATCAAGATAATCAAATTGAGACCTGTGAAGACCAACAACTATAAGCAATCTGATGCCAGACACACATCAGCAGATACCACATAGGAAATCTAAAAGAATAAGAACATAGAGCAATAGAAAGAAAGGGCCATGTCACCTTAGATTTTGCTAGGCTGCACGAACAGATTTCTAGAAAGAACCCCTTGTCTTCCTTGACCACCTTGCATAATATAAGCATCAGCAACCAGCAAAGGGAAACAGGAAACCTGCAAATTCTCGTGAATGTAGAAACTAAGAGAAGCACTGAAGCACGGACAACATGTTCTGGAGACGAACGGCGCAGCATAGATGCGAGGGGCGGTCGAAGCTTATATCAATCTCTGAAAGATAAATTTTTTCACAGCATACAGTAAAAGGTTAAAGGCAGCAAGGTTCATGGTTTTGGCTGTAGCTGTAGCCTACTAAACAAATAGCAAGCATTAGAGTAATTACCGAAGGTATGTCATATGTGATATGTCTAGCACCAACGCCAAAAACTGGGAGACCTCTCAATGAGAGAGACGAAGGCAAAGAAAAAATTATCGAAACAAAGATAGAACTATAAGGGAATCTTCGGTAGCTTTCTGATTAGCATAAAATCTCAGCCATAACCAGTTCAGTGCAAAGATCAAATCTAGATGATCGACAGACATCGGTGCAAAGGGTTGTAAAAACAGAAGTGTAGTAAAATAAAAAACAATAATGAATAGGGTAACAGGAGGCCTCTAAACAAGACCAATTCGATGCAAAGATCGAAGTGGAGCTGATCACATGTATGGATCATTTTTAAATTCACCGCAATGGCAATAATATATGTACTAAAAAAATCATTGTCATAAGCAAGTGGATTTGCAAGCAAGTGTATGTACTGAAAAATCACAAGCATAACCAATTAAGTACAAAGATCGAATGCAGCCGATCAACAGGACCTTAGGTCTAGATGTTCCAGACCTGCAAGAAAGATAATTTGTAAGAAAGTGGACAGAGATGGATAAGAATAAATACATCATTGGCACTGAGGTGTGGTCGGTAATAGAACAACGAACAAATTATGTGAAGTAAAGACATCACTGACAATGGACCTATGGTCAGCAACGAGCGCACAAAATGTAGCAATTAATGAAAATGAAATAACACATGCAAAAGCGAATTGCTAAGATACAATGACATAGTCTTCACAGAACTAATGAAAATAGCAAGAATCATGGAAGAATGAAAGAACTAACCATCATTGCACAATTCCATTGTCTTAGTCTAAAAAGTTCATCATCCCACAACCCTAGAACCTCAGTAAATAAAATGCAGAATTAAACAACTAATCATCATTGTACAATGAAGGATATCAATTCTGCACATGATCCGCGTATTTAAAGACAAGAGAAGCGCAGGAGCAAACGGCCTCCTAGGGGAGGGTGGCCAAGATCCTTGCAATGAGGAGAGGGAGCTGAGGGAAGGGAAGGGGGAGAAGGGGAGAGAGCGCCCCTCTGCCATGCGCAATAGGGCAGATGCGCCGGTGTGGGGCTCCTCCGGCGATGAAGGCCGGCGAGCTAGATCCACACACGTACCCGACGCCGACACTAGCAAAGAGAGCACGCACCGGAGAAATTGGTTACTCCCTGAGCACATGAGAAGTATGCAGATCGTAGGCGCACCCACAACGTAAAGAAATTGCTTGTAAGGCCTGCCAAGTCACTGCACACCGTAGGCACATCTTAGTGCAATTCATAAATTTTATTGTTCCTGTTAGAACAAATAATAGAGAATCAATGTGCTATCATTGTAACAAGGGATAAGAAGGCCTTTCA